AGAGACCGAGAGCCGACTGAGAGAGAGCGAGCCAACCTCCGGACAGATTCTCATCTATATGCTGGGTATGATGTGCATGGTATGGAATAGACTATTGGCCAATTTGGGTCTCAGTCCTAAACCTAAGGTCGAATCCCAGACTGGTCACTGGGGCTGTGATCCCTCCCAGCTTCTCCTGCCCCTGCAGACACAGGCACAGCAGAGAAGCTGGAAAGTCCTTGACTGTCCTGGCAGCAGATACAACCATCAGTATGTGATCAGCTTCTCCTCAGCACAGATCCAAAACACAGCCTCTCACTGGCTATATGCAGAAAGTTACCTCTGTCCCACCCAAACCCAGGACAGGGCCCGATGCAAAAGTGTCAATCGGGAAGTCCCCACGTTACTGGCTGTGCCAGACGCAGGGCGGGCTGGCAGATGTCTGTCCCCAGCACCATGCTGGCAGCCCCACCTGGGGCTGAGCTTGGGGGTCCCCATCCCAGCACCCAGCCGCTTGTGTGCCCAGCTTTCGGCACGGCAGGAGCTGGTTTTACTGTGCAGGGGGTGAATAACATGGCCAGGGTGCTGAGAGAGGTTGGTTATGCCCCAGAAAATTAAAAGATGCATTTGAGGTGATGAGAAGGGTCAGTAGCAGAGGTGGGAACCGGCTATCCTCGGGCACCCGGCTGGCCAGTTACTGCTGGGAGCGCTTTACGTTGTTACTGGTGGATGAACAAAACCGCGCCACAACCCGTCGCCAGAGCTCAGCATTAAACCATAAAATCACCTGTGTTCTGCACCGAGCACTGTGAAACAGCCGCTGCCCTCGATGCCTTCGCTGCCTGTGCCCTGTCTGTGCCCTGCCTGCCAGCCGACCCTCAGCTGCCCCCTCTCTCTGCTCTCCAGACACCGCTGTGTTTAGCAGTCTCTCCCAGCACCGTGATGCATTTTCCCAGCACAGCCACAGCAGCCTGATCTCCGCAGGACACAGCCCACCACGACAGACCCGCTGGCGGCAGGGGGTGCAGAAATGCAGCGGGGGGGGTGTGCAGGCGCAGGCGGCTGGGCCAGGGCAGGGTTTGTGCACAAAAGCCAAGGGATAACTGAACAGCCACGGGGGAGTGACACGCCAGCCGTCACTTCCTACCCCACTATGCAAAACCCCCCCAACCCAAGGGTGTGCAATATTTGCAATATACTGCAAACAAAGAAAAATCAGGGCAGCCGGTGAAGAGAGAGGACAAAGTGTCCAGTGTGGGGGCAGGTGTCTGGGAGGGTCGGTCACCGCCTGGCCAAGGGCTGGGCTGCTAGGGGCACTGCTCCCTGGTCCTGTCCCTGGCATGCGAGGGAATTACAAGCACTTGACATCTCTGCTGACTAGTCATCGTGTTCCGGAAATTGTACATTTTTAAAGTAAATTCACTCATGTAAAACTGGCATTTGACTTGGCTCGGTGATGTGCTGGCAGCCGCGCTGCGGGATGGATGGCGATGTCACTGTGGTGCCCGTGGCCAGGGCATGGGGATTTGGGACAAGCAAACTTCTCCTTCCCCAGCAGCCGAGCCTTCCTCCAGCCAGGGTGAAGGAGCAATGGTGCGGCCGTGGCAGTGGGACCCTCGCACTGCTCTGTGCTGGGCATCCTGGAGCTGCACCTCAGCCCAGCTGTGCCCACTGCCCATCGCTGCCCATCGCTGCCCATTGCTGCCCAGGGTGGAGAGGAGCCTCCAGGAAGGTGGCCAAGGAGAGGTTTCCCACTAGAGGACACAAACACGAAGGGCTGCTGCCATCTCCTGGGGGTTCTCAGGGCATGGCCACCCCGGCATTGTCAGGGGGCCAAGGATGTGACCCCAGCTGGGCTGGGGCTCCAGGCTGGGACAGGCTTGGGGAAGACGGTGGGTC